TTCATTTCATATGGGTGAAGAGTGAAATTCAAAATGGTGTCTATTGGTCTTTACCAAGCTTATAATTGGACTTCACATTGCTATTAGAGTAATGAATTGGAATCTATGTGACTATCCTCTACTCCAACATAGCAAAGGTATTATTGTAATGTGCATGATCATTTCATCTCTTACTAGTATGCGGTTAGTGCATATAATTCATACTTCATAGGATCATGCATAACAAATGAAATATTTAAATTCATAGCCTACCACTATTACTTGAATAATTAGTTGATCTAGTGGTTACTATATGAATTTGTTCATGAGCTAGTAAACCCAAGTACTTGACTCAATTTGAATTGCTAACAAGTGACAAGTACAACATTGGTAACATAACCCTTGCAAGAGGTGTGAAGAAGCTTGTCATTGGTTCAAACTGGACTTGGAAGCTTAGGCAAATTAATTTAGTTCAAGTCAACCATAGAAGCTCATGATAGTGATAAGAGTACAAGCACAAGACAACAATGCAAATGGATATCTAGTTTGTTTGTTTCAAATGGTATCTAGACTCAAGTAGTTCATCAAGAATTCACAAGTGATGTCTAGATCAACTCACAAGTGATATCCTATAAGTGGTACTCATGAAGATAGCAAATGTTCAAAGAATGGTCAAAATTGACAAATCCAACAAGTGGCTCCATACTAGAATTTTTTTTCAAGTGGTATCACATCTACACGTGGTATCAATCATGCAAGACGATAGTTCCACAAGTGATCCTCAACTTTAAGTGATCATCAAATGAAGAATACATCCCTCACCTACAAGAGCTCAAGTGTATCAAATGGATGACTCATGCTATCACATAGGGGGAGGTGTCCCACAAATTGAGCTCAAGTGTATCAAAGATCCTATGTGTGGTATCTCAAGAAGCCCTACACAAGATACAAGTGGTACAAGTTACAAGTGGTATCTACAAGTGGTGTCATTCCAACAATCAAGTGATGTCCATCAAAAATATAAGATTCAAGCCTCAACCATCTACCCCAAATTCATACATTTGCATCAATGAGAAACACACTTTTTATGGAAATTGATGACAAAGGGGGAGAGATAGCTTTGAGATTGAGATTGTACAAGGGGGAGAGATAAGATATGAAAGCTCAAAGAAATAGAGGTAGAACATGGACATGGATAAAGAGGGAGCAACATTAAAGAAAAGAGATGGATCAAAATTCTTGGACAAGAGAAGCACACAAGTAGGGGGGGGCAAGCTCATGAACTTTGATTGATTGCATTTGATATGTGCATATTCATGTGCTTGCTTGCATTACATAAGTTCTTAAATTCAATATGCATGCTTGTGTGATGTATGCTAGTTGTAAAATTTGATTGATGAAATGAAAACTAGCATGCATAGGATGATAGCTAGACACTTGGTATGTTTTTCAAGTAATGCTAGTACCTTGCTTTTAATGTTGATCTCATGAGGTATCTAGTGTTTTTTTCAAGTGTTATCTAGCTAACCATGGTGCTAAGGATGAACTTAAAGGTGCAACTTCGATTGGTATCATACTTCAAAGGTTTACTCTATACACCTTAGCATCATTTAGTAGTAATTACTCTCCCACAATTTCAATCTATGCATATGTACTAGCTTCAAATCAAACACTCTAGCACATATGTAGGGGGAGCTAATACTACCATCTCAGGTTTGTGGTACTTGTCCAAAATCATTTTCACATGGTAAAATTGCTTGGGCAAGCAACATGAATCCAAAAAAGCTTAATTTTCATATCTTTGTAGAGTTGTCATCAATTACCAAAAAGGGGAAGATTAAAAGGTCCTTGTGTGGTTTTGGTAATTGAGTGACAACCTAGGTGGACTAATTGTGTTTATATGAGATACACAGGTGATTAGTCCACAGGAACGTGTGTGTGAGCAACATATGCCATGAAGGTAAAAATGGCTTGGAGATGTTGCAAAGCTCACACATGAGATGATGAAGGAGCTCATTGCAATTAACTACTCTTTCGAGACATAAATTGTTAACTTTTGAGCACTTTCCATGATTTTATGTGGGTGTATAGCAAAATTTTGCATTCTAAAAAGCAAATAGGATTACATAGGCTTTTTGAACCCCTTGCGAGTCAATGAGAGGAAATGTTAGGCATCTATGGATGTGACGTGGAAGAAATGAAATAGAGATTGATTGCTGTTTTCGACGAATTCACGATGAAGAACAAAACCCACATATTTTAGCCTACAACTGCGAGTATGTGTTCTCGGCTTTTAATTTTATGCTTCTTTTTTCGTTAAGATTATTCGATAATTAGGATTCTATGATTGCAGCAACCATTTCGTCTTTATTTGTGTTAATCTTGCCAAAAATCTGATCGAGGTGTGGGACTCGAAGAAAAATCCATTTCATCATCTGGATGCACTGGTGGCAGTGTTGAATTAGTAAGCGATCCTAATAACATATTATTTTTTAATCACACATGCCGCTTTCTAATGTTTCTCCCTTTAATGTTGCTCAGTATCCGAAGAAAACATATCGGTGGGACGCAGGTCTCATTCAAGGTTGTCGAAATGGAGGGGAAGTACCTAAAACAGCCGGCGAAAAATAATGAATGCGGGTTTTATGTAATGTGGGCAATGCTTCGCTACATCAGCGGAAAATCGGAAGAAGTCGATAAGTTGGTGTGTATAATCCATATTTCATTTATGTCTGTTAATAATTCAATAAAATGATTTACTATTCCTCTTTGGTTATCATCTTTTTTGAACGACAACGCAAGAAATATAACCACGAAAGGCTGTTAGACATGGAGATCATCGCACTGCAATCTGAGCTGGCAAAATTCATCTTAGCCGAGGTATTGGAAAAAGATGGAGTATTTTCCATTGCACAATCTGTGAAGTACAAAGACCAGTATGGCCCAGAGCGGCTCGCCAGATTATTATAAGAAGTCCGAGAAGCATTGCACAATCTCTTAAGTCCGAGAACATTTCTTTTTTATTTTGAGGGATCGAGATCTGGATAAGAATATTTGAATTGTAACCGTAGCATTTGTAATGTTTAATATTGATGGACCTGTCGTCTACGTAGCGTATATAAAGCGAAACCCGATTTCACAAAAAAATATAAATTAAAATCAATTATAAAATAATAAAATGCGAACGTGACATCACTGCCGGTTATCAGAAAACCGACAGTGTTGTCGTAAACATCACTGTCGGTTAGCAACAAAACCGATAGTGATGGCACTGCCGGCTCGAGCCACAAACCGGCAGCGTTGGCTTAGCCATCACCGCCGGTTCTTGTCACAAAACGATAGTGATTCTTACTACAACGCTGCCGGTTGAAACATAAACCGACAGCGTTGTTGGAACTGAACTCTACCGGGTGGTCTTATGAACCGACAGTGTTGGTGGAAATAAACACTGCCGGTTGTGTAAAGAACCGACAGTGAAGTTGAAGTACACTGCCGGTTTGTAGGAACCGACAGTGATAGCTTACCCTCATTACTGTCGGTATGGTTGTGCCGGTTCAAAATCCGACAATGATGAGGTATTTAATTTTGAATCAGCAGTGAAGTGCTATCGTGACGTAGTGGTTCTCCTCACTCTTCCGAGTACCAACTCCCATCCGATGGCATCGTTTCAGTAAAAATTTTCCAAAGTTTCCAGAAAACTGCTTTGTTTTTCTAGCGGCCGGCCGACTTGTTTCGTACACGCACGTATCTCTCTTATCTGGAGAAAGCAGCTTTGATGACTATACTATAACAGGTGTGTAGCGTGACCTGGATAGTGTGATCTGCAAGCGAGAGATCGAGTCAGCAGTGTGACCTGGATAGTGTGATCAGCAGCGAGAGACCGCATGAACGAGTGTTAATGGCTGCTTGCTTGCTTTCCATGGCCATGCCGCGTTTACTCTGAGAAAGATTCAGAGCTCTGAGGTCATGCAAAAGCCTGCCGGTCCGCGTGGCGCGGAGTAGTTGTTACCTATCAACTGAATATTATATCGATACGATGTAGCAGTAAAATAATATAAACAGCTATGCATTAGCTTTGTTCCAGATCGGTTTAGGAAGTGGATTAAGGAACTGAAATGAAATATACCAAAATATTTGGAAGAAGGATACAGCAGTATACTGGCAGTTATATATATATGGCTATTAAATACTCCTTGAGTCCTTGAATGAATCAAATCCTAGAGTTATGTTAAATCAATTTCTTTAAGTTTGGTCAAATTTATAAAAAATATACAACACTATTTATGACATCAAATAAACAACGATGAAAATATATTTCATTGTGTATCTAACAATATTAATTTAGTGCTATAAATCTAGGTGCTCTTTTTCATAAATTTGATCAAACTTAAAAATATTTGATTTAGGAAAACTCTGTGGAATTGATTATTTTAAAGAACGGAGGGAGTATACAACTGCAATTCAATTGGTGTACCTCGAAAGCAGTTCGGTCTATCTCTGGACTCTACTACTCCCTCCTGGTCTACGGCACTCATACTCGTGATACAAAACTAGCACAGAACACGCACTCCGCAGGCTAATGAACAGCAAAAAAACACTCGAACAAAGTACATATGAGCAGTAGCAGCAAAGTGAATAGTAATAAACCGCTAAACAGTAACAAACAGAGAAATAAACAGCGTGAAACAGTACTAATTAAAACAGTGGTGTACAGTAAAGGAACACCGATAAAACATGTCTGAACAGTACATGAGGCCCTGGATGGTCTCCATTTTATTCCTGGTGGAGGGATTAATATATATTTATTATTATTATATAATACGGGCATCGTTTCATACATAAGGAACTATAGTCGTAAAAACTTGTTCTTTTCCGTTGTCGGAAACTCTCTATACTTTTTGTTTCCAAATAAAAAAACTCAGTGTTATATATATACACTATACAGTATAGTGATTAGAGCACACCTTGTCGATCGATATCGGTTTATTTGGCTCCAATTAATACTATTTATTAGTTAATAATCACACTCGAAAGAGTATAACGTTGGGGTCCAATCCCTTGGGCACGCTCGCCACGAGTTCATGGTACGTGTCCGGCAGCGACAGCGCGATCTTGGTGGCAGTCTCCAGGTAGCTCTGAAACTTGTCGGTGGTCAGGCCAGCAGCCTGCTGCTGATCCGCGGCGGTGGTCTTCTTCTTCGGGTAGTACTGCTCGTCGTCGTCGTCCGAATCGGCGTCGACGACGGTGGTGGTGGAGGTGCGGCGGCCACGGTGATCGTGTAGCAGCTCCTCCCTCATGACGTGGTGCTTGAACGTCCGTCGGTGGAACGCCCAGTTTCCCGTGGCCCAGTCGAAGCTGTAGAGCGGGAGGAAGCGGTGGCCGTGCGCGGCCACGAAGTCGATGGCGGCGAGCACGAAGCGGAACTCGTCGCGGGAGAGGTAGTAGGCGAAGCTGACCCGCGTCCACCCGGGCTTCACGCCGTGGTACCCCCTGACGATGGCGTCGCGGATGCGGAGCGAGAGGTCCTCGCCGACGCCGAGGAGCGCGTGGCCGTAGGGCCCCGCGCACGCGCAGCCGCCCTGGCCTGGATCCCGAACAGGTCGTTGAGGAGTTTGGCGACGAACCGGCCGTGCAGGGGCAGCCGCCGACGCCGCGGGCTCCCGGTCGCTGACGCGTAGGAGGTGTCATCTCCTTCTCCGCCCGGGTAGACGAGGAAGGAGAAGATAGGCAGGCGGCGCGCGGCGACGTTGCCGAGCACCTCGACGTTGGGGTTGCTGAGCAGCCGCGCCATGGCCGCCTCCGCGTAGACCTGCTCCCGCAGCGCGACGGCGTCGCGCCCGACGTGCTCCTTGACCCAGAACGCCAGCGACGCGCGCACCTTCTGCACGATGGGCGGCGTGCCGGCGTCCTCCCGCTCCTCGATGTCGTCGTAGTACACCGTGTCCTGCAATGCATGCGGGTGTACGGTACGGCACACGTGCGTCAGCGACTGGATCGTCATGCATGTACTGCCACGGAGTTGTGACTCCGATGGTTCAAGCGTGCATATCACGGCTTTAATGATTGCAGTACCAGAGTACGAAACATTCGGGTTCATCAAAACCTGTACTATACTAGTAGTACCTAATTTGGAATTTACATGCATGAACAAATAAGTACAGAAGCACACGGCGGGTCGATTGTCGTTGGTGGCCTCACTCACCTCCTCGCTGAATCCGTTGACGTAGGCGACGGTGCCGCCGCCGCAGGTGGACGGCGGCATGCCGGCGAGGCGGTAGAGCGCCCGGTTCATGAGCAGGATCCCCGGCGTGCCCGGCCCGCCGACGAACTTGTGCGGGCTGAGGAACACCGCGTCGTAGCCGTCCATCTCCCCCGACCGCATGTCGATGTCAACGTAGGGCCCGCTGTTCAGACACACGGGGATGTCAACGATCGACTCACGCATGTCTCATATAATGCAGTGCAGGACACAATGTTATCTGAGCAAGAAACGTGAGCACAGGTACACTGCTGACGCATGTACAATATACAAGTAGAAATGTCATCTTATTTATTTATTTTCGTACTGTGTATATATCTTGGTTTTCGTAGTTGTGTTGGTGCAGAAACAACAATATTCAGATGTGTCGCGTTCTGAGTTCTGACGCGGCGTATGCAATGCAACACCGGCCATTGAAGGCCTTTGTGGTTTCTTGAGAGAGCGAGGCTATGTTCAGATCGGTTTTCTGTTCTGAGTTGTGACGCGTTTGCATGTAGCAGGTAGAGGTCGATGGCTTTCGCTGTCGGATGAGCTACGAACTGGACTTGCGATGCCGCTCCTTCTAATTAACTTGGAAATAAAATTAACAAAACAACGCCGGGCAAGGAAAATATGTATGAGATTGCTTCAACGATGAGGAAACCAGACGCAAAAACATTTCAGTAACTTCATCTAACTACTATATCACGTGTGATTGATGCGTTCTTAATAATAATAAGTCTGGCAAGCCATGAATTTGATAGCTAGCGTATGGCTTTGGTACACAGATGCAATACGTGATGGTGGCATCTGCAGGTCAAAGTGATATCATCATGCAGCATGCAGCAGGTCGCGAAATTTGTCAAATTTTGATGTCAAGGATGGAGGAAACGGGCGCGCCTGCAGCTGCAGGTAAGGATGAAAACAGACCGAAAAAATCCCGTTCCATTTTCTATTTTCTTCCGTTCGTTTTCGTATTTGTGGGATCTCGTTTCCGTATTTACGGAAACGTGAAAGGGGTTTTTCCGTTCGTTTTCGCGAGATCATGTTTTTATCCAGAATTAACTCGTATTTATTCCGTTTTTCATCCCGTTTTCAATCTATGTGAAATATGTCTAGAAATTGATATGTTGATAAACCTACTAATCTCACAAATTATGCATGTTAACATGATAACACATGGTATACTAGTGAATATCGGACCGATAATTTCGTAAGTGTATATTATTTTGTGACTTTGTTCATGTATACTCAAGAATATTTGATCTTGTTATTCTAACTTATTTTTCTGGCTCTCCGTCCGTATTTGTTTGTTTCCATATTTCCGTATATCCCATCCGTTTTTATTATGTTTTTTCCACGAACCTGATCCTGTTTCCGCTAAAAATATAGAAACGGAAATGGGAGAGGAGTTTTTCCGCCCGTTTCCGTCTGTTTTCGTCCTAGCTGCAGGTGAGCAAATCAAATCGCGAAATCAAATTGGCCTAGTTGTTATTACTATTCAAAGAACGACGCTTGTTTTTTATGTTCATCAGGTCCGGACAGCTGAATGGATCAAACTGCAGACTGAATTTCGTTCTGATACAGGAGCTTACATTTGCATTAATTGTTCTATGGCGTCAAGTTTCAAACCTCACGTATATATTCTATAGCACATTGACAAAACGAGAGTTGCTGCCTGCATTTGGAATTGAACTGTATAGCTGCAAGGACTTTAATTTTGGCCATCATGCATGCGTGTCAGACTATTAAGTTGTGTGTTCAAACTTCATATATTGTCACGACTGTCACGTACGAGCCTAGAAATTCACGGCTACAAACAAAGAAAACCTGAACAATTCTTAATTTCTAGCTGAGGTGCAACCGTGAATTTTAGAAGTATATACATATATATGTAAAAAAGAACTTGATCGAAGTTTATACCTCAATGCAAACTACTATTCTATACATCGTGGACAGGCACCTAGAGAGTACAACACGTACCTGGCAGCGAAGTCGAAGCAGGCGAAGGCGCCGTGCTGGTGCAGGAGGCGAGCGATGGCGCGGGTGTCGGTGAGCACGCCGGTGACGTTGCTGCACGCCGAGAAGCAGCCCAGCATGGGGCGGTTGGCGTACTCGGACGACGCCAGCGCGCGCCGCAGCGCAGCGAGGTCGACGAGCCCGTCGTCGCCGTCGGTACCCGCACCCGCGCCGATCTCCACGACGTCAGCCAGGGACTGCCGCCACGACAGCAGGTTGGAGTGGTGCTCGTAGGGCCCCACGAACACAACCCACCGCTCCTCCGCGCGCAGCAGCTGCTGCGCGCCGGCGGCGGCGGCGCGCGCCCGCAGCAGCGCCGGCGGGCACGCCACCCCGATCGCCTCCTGCAGCCGCTTCGCCACCGCCGTGGCGCCCGACCCGCAGAAGAGCAGCGCGTCGTCGGGGCCCGCGCCCATGCACCGCTTGATGTAGCTCCCCGCTTTCCTCGCCATCCGCGTCGTCTTGCTGCCCACGTAGCTGTCCTCCGTGTGTGCGTGTTCCCTGCACACACAGCCATGCATCTGTCATGTAGTGTCGACAACATCTTCCTGTTTATGATGATCGAGACGCATTCGGCCATGCCCATGCTTATGCATCGATGGTGTTGCTTGGGGAGTGAAGAGGCATGCACGCTGACCGTAGAAGGGGTGGACGTTCTTGAGGATGTAGTCCTCGATGTAGTGGAGGCTGCGGCCGGTGGCGGTGTGGTCGGCGTAGAGGAGCGCGCGGCGGCCGAACGGCGTCTCGAACTCGGCGTCGTGGCCGACGAGCTGCGACCGCACCCACTCCACCTTCTCCTCGGCCTTGGTGCTCCGCTCCGACCGCGCCCGGAGGAGGCTCACCAGAGTATGGGGCGTGTAAGTGGGCGGCGCTCCATTCGTGGCGCCGACCTTCTTCTCCTCGCCGCCGTGCACCATCACCGCTTGAAGCGACGGCATGGCTAGATGCTTGCTGCCAATGCCAAATTATCAAAATGCTCTTCTTGCAGCTAGCTAGACTAATTGCAGTTGCAGTACGGCTACTCTCTCGAATATCTTGCATGGTTAGCAAGTACATGTATTTATACATCCGGCCGATCTCCCATATCGCTTCATGCGTTCGACTTCACAATAAGAATTTCTATAGCAGCTCTGATATGATTTGATGAGGACAAGAATAATCAATCTTGTGAGATGACTTTGGGATCGATCGCTAGCTAGTCAATGCTGCGAAGGAATTGCTTGTGATGGTCGCCAAATTGCAGACGATCAACTGGCGAGCAATTGCTGTACATGCTGAGCTGGTGGTGCGTCCTAGTTAGACCTGTTGCATGCATCAGCTCGATCGGTGAATTTATATTTTCTACTAGAGGTTTCGTGCTTGGGAGTCTCGCAGGTACGTAGGTGTGCTCCATTTGGTCAGTTTTCGAGTATAGTTGCATCACACACCCACAACACAAAGTTTCATCGTCATCAGGGTGGTTAGTTAACCGCCGGAGCCGCCGGCTGCTGCTCGATCGACAGATGTGCAGTCCAGTTTTTCTTTCATTTGACTCTGTTGCTGTCATGCAATTAATATCCGATTAAGATCATTGGCATGCTTATATCATTTTGTAACTAATTTACTTCCTCCATTCAGAAATATTAAATTAATCTAGGCACGAATAAGCAATGTTTTTAATTAGGTAAAAGTCAACAATAATAAACTTAAATAGTCGAATTTAATTATTGCAAATAATATGAATAGACACTGCCGGAAACAGTAAATATGTTGAGTATTTTTTGGTTGCCGAGTGCATTCCATCGGGTACTCGGCAAATCTTTCATTTGACTCTGTTGCTGTCATGCAATTAATATCCGATTAAGATCATTGGCATGCTTATATCATTTTGTAACTAATTTACTTCCTCCATTCAGAAATATTAAATTAATCTAGGCACGAATAAGCAATGTTTTTAATTAGGTAAAAGTCAACAATAATAAACTTAAATAGTCGAATTTAATTATTGCAAATAATATGAATAGACACTGCCGGAAACAGTAAATATGTTGAGTATTTTTTGGTTGCCGAGTGCATTCCATCGGGTACTCGGCAAAGAGCTGATTTGCCGAGTGTAGTGAAGAAGACATTCAGCATACATATTGCACTCGGTAAAAAACCCGATTTGCCGAGTGTAGTATAACAGACACTCGGCAAACAACAAGACGACACTCAGCAATGAATTGACACTCGGCAAAATACTATCATGTGACCAGCACGTGCGACGGCCGTCTGACGGCGTGCCGACCGTTATCAAAAGTGTTACTTTGCCGAGTGTTTTTCCCCTGCACTCGGCAAAATTATAAGTTTGCCGAATGTTTTTTATAGGCACTCGGCAAAGCCAAAACTTTTTTTCCTCTCCTGCCCTCCAAACTTTTTCTACTCTCCACATACAACATGTGGTACTACATGTTAAAATTTAGTATATTTCTCGATCTGTTTGGTATATTTAATTAATTTATTGCATTTAGAGAAAATTTTTGGTATAAATCAAATTTGAACCGCAAGTGATTCAAATAATGGAATAAAATAAGTGGAAAATGATATTCATATTATTGAGTCCATTTTGAGGCCTTACCCGGGAAATGAAAAGAAATTTCGAACATTTTGTTCAGGAAACACGACCACGAACGTGTGGCCGAATGATTTTTAAATTCTAAAAAAGCAAACAAAGTCTGAAAGTCACGAGATTTGTCAAAATCTTATGATATCATACGTGGAGGCTGTGGTAAAAAATTGAGAAGGTTTCGCATAATTTATCACGTACGACGCTTACAAACCGAAGCATCTCCGAAGAAAAATCGTAGCGTTGAGAAGGATCCGGTAAGATTTGGAGTCAAAGTGACGGTCGAATTGGGGTTTGACTTCAAAACTTTTTGTATAGGCAATAGACAATATAGATTGGTTCACATCAAATTTTGGTAATTTTTTGGATCCGTTTGATAATTTTAATTTATTAACTGCAATTATAGAATTTTAATTGATATAAATTGAATTTGAGCTATAACTGCATGAAATAATGGAATAATATTCGTAGAAAAATCAAATTTGCATTGTTGAGGGAATTTGACAAGGTATTTTCAAATTACATCGTAACAAATTTAGTAAAACACGTTATGAAGAAGGAGGATAGGTGGACATGAAATATCAATTTATTTTGCCGACTGTACTTTACTTTGTCGAGTGCCAAATCGTGGGCACTCGGCATACCTTTACTTTGTCGAGTGCCAAATCGCGGGCACTCGGCAAAGCCCTTTGGTTTTTACCCAAGCCGGCCGCACACTTACTCATACAGACTCACACACTCACCCGCACACACACACGCACACCGTGCCGCGCTGCCGGACCGCCCTCCGTGCTGCCAGACCGCCACCCCCACCCCACGCCGCCGGACCTCCCTCCGCCGCCGGGCGGCCGCCCCCCACCGCCGGGCCCTCGCCTTCTCGTGCCGCCGCCGGGCAGCCCCCCGCCATCCCGGCTGGCCCCTCTCGGCCCCCGTCGCGACGCCCCTCCCGCCGCCGCCTGGCCCAGCCCCCGGCGCCCCTGCCTCCCAATGGCCGCCCGGCGGGTTGTCCCCTCCTGGCTGCCCCCTTGCCGGGTAGCCCCCATGATCGGCGCCCTCCCCCTGGTCCGGTGAGCCCCTCCTCCTCCCCCCTGCCAATTTGGCTGGAGGAGGTGTCTTATGAGATTTTGTAAAGCTTCCCATGCATGACGTACTCATAATTGTGCGCGAGTTTTTCTACCAGCCTGAAAATTATATAGTTTATGTTAATTAGATCTTATCTACACACCTCATCAGCTAAAATGAAATCCTGCAACAAGGAACATTGGTGGTATCATATAGACCCAAAGCACATTGAGGATATCATATGAACCCAAGACACAGTATTAACTGGATGCTGCATTGCATCAGTCAATATCATTAAAATTCAAGTTGCATGATGCAAATTTCACAAAACGGCTAAATTAATCACCTGTGTATAGTATCTGGAGTGCCATCCAAATTCAGAGTAGGTGCTAAAACCATGTTAAATTTCTCACCGGCATGCATAGGATAAACATCAGTAGCAACATCTAGCTGCATATACATATCTAACTGCTCACTGCGTGCTTCGACACGAGAACTGTACACATGCAAGAGAAGAACAGAACATGAGCACAAGGTCATACTAGAACAAGGCTGGCAATTGAGCGTAGTTAGTTAACTCATAATATCGACGGAAGCTATATAAAGTGAAAAAGAAGCGGGTCATGCTTGACTGTTAGTTTCTTTTAGCTACAGCCTTGTCTTGCTACGGCTAAAATTAACTCTCCCAGATAAAGTCCTTCCTTGGACTATTGTTAGAATGGTTGGGGTATGTACTTGTCTAATGTACTGGATATGCAATTCCAAGATTGATTTAATTTCAGCAGACAAGTGACATGGCTTGTTTTACGTTTTAATAGGTTATGCGGCCGCCGCTCCCTGCCCCGCCCTGCAGTCGCCGTCCGCCTTGCCCTCCCGCCTCCCCACACCTTTGACTTGCCGTGGTTTTGCAAGGTATAAGATGTGTATGTGGTTGTCGGCCATCGTGCCATTGGTTTGATGTGTATGTGGTTGTCGGCCATCATGTCGTTGGTTTGTTGCAGGTTTTGGTTACCTCACCGTGCAGGGGAGGTGCTGCCGAAATTTACAATTGACACTATTATGTTCATTTGTTGCAAGAGAGGCTATTGCAAGGATTATTCCCCACCGTCCTCGACTCGTCACTTTACAAGACAACATGGTGAGGCATCCTACACCCCTCTTTCCATATCATGTTCATATATCAAGTAACCTAGCTAGGTGTCTCCCGTTCGAAAGAGATACGGTTGGAAATATGCAGATTTTTGCATATCTATAACCGTATCTGTTTCGAATTATCCACGTTTTTTGGACAGCCCGAGGATGTGTAGATGGAGTTAGTTTCCATGCTCTACTCGGATCCAAGATAGAGTTTCAGCAGCATCTCCCTATTGTTCTCCGGATACACAATCTCCCTACTAGGACGTGTATTTAGAGAACAACGGGGAGGTGCTGTCGAAATTCTATCTCGGATAGGAGTAGAGCATGGAAACTAACCCCATCTACACATCCTTGGGTGGGATTAGGACCTATCTTCACCTATTAGATAGTATAGGAACCTGTAGATGCAATTGATTTTTATATTACTTGCTGATATGTTAGAGGATAGATGACTGTGAGTGGATGTACACAGGCCGCTCTAGTCAGGGTTCGTTTACTGATGAATGGATTGAGAAGACCGATACTTTCTTGGAACTAGCATTTGCAAGGGTTAAAGGAGCGCGTGACACTTGGTGTCCCTGCAGCATTTGTGCAAACACGCGTCGACAAACAAAGGTGGTCATGGGTAAACATCTTTGCAAGAATGGATTTACGGCGGATTATACCCGGTGGATCTACCATGGTGAATCCGATCGTGTGAGAGACGAGGTCGTGAGACAATGAATCGAGGATTATGATGCTGATGTCGGGGTAGGAGACATGTTAAATGACTATCATGAAGCACACTTCGATGAAGGACGTAGGGAGGAGGAGCCAGAGCCAACCACAAAGGCATATTATGATATGTTGTATGCGGCATAGCAACCCCTTCACGGGCATGCTAAGGTTTCTCAACTGAATGTCATTGCACGCCTAATGGCCATAAAGTCCCAATTTTGCACCTCCCGTATGAGGCACGAATGGGGGGGCCTATGCAGGGTCGTTGGTGCTATTCAATTGAGAGATTTCAAAAGGTTCTTCGAACTAAATATAAAAATAAATAAAAATTAAAGCATCCATAGCAGAGGCATATATTCTGGAGGAGGTGTCAAACTTTACAACAAAATACTATGCTGACAACCTTCCTAGCGTGCATAATCCACCCCCTCGTTACAA